GTCATCAACGTGTGACCGGTGGGAGAGCGTAAGGTCATTGACCTCACCGGAGTTTTACCGTGGTTCAGGCTCCTAACGACACAAGGTAAGTTTAACTTTTTCTCCCTTTTGTTCATATTTTTGCCACAGTTGTGTTATATTAAGTTGCAGTTATGTTGTGAAAGTTACATATCAGAGACGGAAAGCCAGTTTTGTACGAAACCAAATCAGTACTATTTTTGTCTGGCTAATTCATTCTAGCTAGCGACAGTGGTGAAACGTGATTCAAATTTAAACTGTTCAGTAATTGTTTTGTATACATTTCAGCAAATGGACAAGCTGAAAGCTCACGAGCAGCCTGCATCCTTTCTGTCGCTCTTTTTCTTTATTTCTCTTTTCTATATTGCTACTGTCGGGATATTTTTTGATCCCGATATGTTTTTTTCTGTTGTTGTTTTTAGACTTTGCTGCAATATGTCATCTGACGATGATGAAAGGAGTATCCGACTCTGGCTGGTTCCCATGACTGTACCAAAAATACTTTTTTTTTTTATTAAAAAAAGAGCATTAAAAATAAATGACTAAAGTACAACTTATTTATTAACTACTGTTCACCTCTTTCATATCAAAGAAGTGTATTTTTTGCTACACATGTTTTATTTGTGGGCACTGAATAGACGATGCTTTTAGTGTAATTGCCACATAAAAAGATTTAGTACTTTACTGGTTAATTACTTATGTTCAGTGTAAGAGGTGGGTGATCAATTAGACTGTTGTTGTTACACTTAACCTTTCAAGATATGATGATAATAACATTGTTCACAAAGCTTAAAACAAAAGAAATCAGCTGTGCACTGAATTCATATGGGCATAAAATAAGGTAAGTCTGCATTTCAACAGTTTCCGTGACAACTCTCTAAAATGACAAAACATGCAGTTTGCATTTAATATAATGTAAGTCTGTGTTGTCTTTAACAGTGAGAGGCATCTGAGACGAGTTTTAAAACTTCTAGGGTTGAAGCGAAGATGCCCCAACGACCTTTTACTGAATCCACAAAGCTGTGGAGGTAAGCGTTAAAACATCAGTGCAAAAAATATATATTTTCCTGAAGTCTGTGTCATGAGCTATTGTAGAAACAATAAATGTTATTTTCTGTAGTGATTTAAAAAAAACAAACATTCAATTGTCTGTTTGTTTGTTTTTTAGAGTGAGATGAAACAGTGGTCTCCTGAACAAGGAATCAGGGCAATGGTAAAGCGGGTAAGGGATGTCAGAGGAGTGCGGCCTTGTTATAGGTTGGTTAAATAGTGTGTATATGATCAAGTGTTCTCTTGTTTTACTGTTGAGCTCAGAGTAAAATCTATTGTTACTGTAGAGACGATGTTGCTAATATAATGAGGTATATGGATGCAAGTGGTCTTCAGAGGAGATCTCCTGAAAGAAGAAAATTCCCCGTCGGAATTACATCAGCCGTGGTCCAAATGACACACGGCACATTGATGGTATTTATTTTATCTTTCAATTAACCTTCCAAACATGTTTTGATGGTACTTCTGTTGAAACAAATTGTAATTATTATTTGTTGTTTCATATAGGCAATGATAAACTGAAGTTCTTTGGAATGTGGATACATTTGGGGATTGATGGGTAGGTTTGAATATGGCATTCGCTACTTAATTTATTATATTCAGTGATAGTACAAAGTTGCTTCAAGATAAGGATGTGCGGTAAACTGAGGTGTTATCTCTCCTGAGTAGTCTAGGGCAGGGATGGGCAAGTCCAGGCCTCGAGGGCCGGTGTCCTGCAGGTTTTAGATGTGTCCTTGATCCACAGCTGATTCAAATGGCTAAATTACCCTCACAACATGTTTTGTAGTTCTCCAGAGGCCTGGTAATGAACTAATCATTTTATTCAAGTGTGTTTACCCAGTGTGATATCTAAAACATGCAGGACACTGGCCCTCGAGGTCTGGATTTGGCCAAGCCTGGTCTAAGGGACCAAGATAAAGTATGAATAGTGAAGGAGGATTCAAGATGGCGGTTTTTAAAAGGCTTATTTCCTGCTAGTCTTAAAGTTCCATTTCAGACTGGCAGTTAATTTCAGGGAGGGCCAAGACCAACACAACAAACAAAACATCCCTGATATAAAGTAAACAGAATTTAACTCCAAAGAAAATAAAATGTACAATTTACGATAACCTACCTAACCAACACATAAACAGGAGAATACAAGGGATTACAAAACAAAAGGCAGCTCTCCCTCGCGTCAGTCTGAACACAGTCAAGAGTCACATTCAATTCCAAAGGCATGTAAGCCTACACAACTATGGCAGTCAAAATGGCCGGAGGAACAGAAACAACGCCTAGACATAATACAATGGAAAACCAGCATACTCTTGGGGAATGTAACAAAAACCAAACATAGTGCCAAAACATGATTAAATCATATGTACAAGTGGCCACTTTTCTGTTTCTTTCTTTTCAGATTTTCCAGGAAGGTTCTATGGCTAAAGGTGGGCACATCCAACCGCAAGCAAAACTTTGTGGCCAGATACTTGTTTGAGGCTGTTCAAGAACAGGGTGGTATGCAATATACTAAAAAATGGGGGGTTAAAAAAGATTACATTTTGTTAATAAATTTATTTTTTCATCATTCACTAATTATCTTCAGTTTGTGTCTTTAGGCTGTCCTCAAATGATTCGGGGGGACAGAGGAAAGGAGAACCTTGTTGTGGGTCAAATGCAGATGGCATTTCACATGCGAGATCTTGGGAATCAGGCATGGAGGTGCTTCAGAATGGGGACATCAGTGCACAACCAGGTATGTCTTTAAGCTGGTAAATGACTATTTCTAAAGTAACAACCTGACAACAAAACTGATAATGTCATGTTTCTGTTGTTTAGAGAGCTGAATGTTTCAACAGTATTTTAAAGTGGACATGGATTAAGAAATGGCTGACAACATTTGAGGTAAAGCAAATCTTTCACCTGTAAAACCTATTAACAAAGAGTAGCCATCCAAATTTCGTTAAACATACGATGGATTAGTTTATCTGAAAACACAAGGCCAGAATCTGTGTTTATGTACATCTGTACCTTTTCACTAATGAAATTCTCACCTTCACAACTTATGTCTTTTTCAAAACAACATGCGTAGGCCATGATGGAGTCTGGGATCCTTGAACTGGACAATCCTGTGCACATGTAAGTCAATATTTTTAGACATGAAAAATAATCAAGCAGCAGTATGAAAGTATGTGGTCTAGGAATGCCTTTGTTTTTTGAGTACTGATTAAAATTTAGCTTTTACTTATTCTACCTCAAAGAAGCAGATGAACATATTAATTTTTTAATTCTCCTTTTTCATAGCAACTGCTTGCAGTACTCACACTTGCCACTGCTTCAAAGAGACTTAAAAACGGAGCAAACAGTTTGGAACACCCATGACATCCGCAAGCAACGCAATGCACCTGGTCCATTTGGAAACCCGACCTTCTGTTTACCTCACCACCTCCTGATATGTCATTTGAAAGCCTGTGGGGTTTTATTTTTTGTTTGTTTTTTAACTTTCATTAGTTTACTTTTACTTTGATATAGCACTCTTCACAGGATAAAAACCACAAAGTGGCTTCACAATAATATAAAACAGATAAACATAAAACAGCACAATCGAACATACAGAATAAATGCAATCAAGGAAACGTAATGATGGAGGCAGAGCATTCCATGACCTGGGAGCCACCGCTTTGGAAGATCTCTTGCCTCTGGTCTTCTGGTGGGACTACTAACAGCCATTGATTAGATGATCACAGGCTGGGAGAGGGAGCGTGGGGTTCTATAAGATCAGAAATTAAGGCAGGAGCTTCACGATTCGGAGCATTGAAAGTCATTACTAAAATTTTAAAATGAATTTTCTAAAATATACTGGAAGCCAGTGTAATGAGCGTAAAACTGTTATAATGTGCTTTCTCTTTTGTGTCTTCCGAAGAAGCCTACTTGTAGTACAATAAGAGATTTCTGAATTTCTACTGTCAATACTAAAATGGCTTCATATTGACACCTTTAACTAAAAATTTATCTAAATGTTTGAGTGATATTTCCATCTTTAAGTTTCTGTAATAACATCTGTAAACACTGACTGCTTCTTATACAGGTTCTAGAACAGCTTTGTCATTATTCATTTATTTTTAACATTCAAAGTGAACATCTTTTCAATATTGTCTTTCATTCGCAGGATATGGCAATGTGCTGCACATTGTTGACCCAGACCTTTTAGACTATGCCAAGCAATTAATCTGTGAGAGGGAAGAGCCTTCACTGGTAGCAAACCAGGAATTCAGAGACATGTGCCAGAACATTTTAGAAAACAGCCAGTTGCCTTGCTGCATACCTCATGCTAGTCCAAGAGCTCACAACTGCCATGAACAGAAATGCAGTTCCTACACTTTCTACGTTTGCCGAGGCAAATGACATATACATCTTTCTGAAGAGAGAGAGGATGGAAGGTGCACCAGTAAACATTTCCAATGACCAATAAAATCATACAACAGTGTTTGTTAACATTTATTTATCCTTGTTTAAAATCAACAGGTAATTTGAAAACTGTCTGACCAACAAAATGTACAATAAAATGTTGAAATACAATTGACAAGGTGCCATCTTTCATAATGATTCAGTGTTTCATTTACCACAACTTTTGTTAACAATAATGTAGAACATAATTCACATTGAAAGACTTTTGAACTGCAGACTGTAGCAACATTACCACTTGTAGCCATATCAGCTCGTAAGATCAAGGCCTGACTTGAGAAACTTAACAACATCAGATGCGGAAGGCCTTGAGTCTGGGTCATAGCTCACCAAACCACCAAGAAAACTGTTTTTGTCACTGAGATGTGATAGGGCATGTGGTGGGGTTTTGGTGGCCATTAGTGCAGCCAGTTCTCTTTGTTTTTTAACCATCCACGGAGCGGAACCCGTCAGGATCTCCAGATATGTGGCTCCGAGGGACCACATGTCTGTCTGGAACGAGGCCTCTTCAAACATCAGTATGCATTCAGGGGCCATGTAAAGATATGTGCCACCAGCTGGACCAGTAGCCTGGGCAGTGAACTTACTCCCTTGACGAAGCATCACAGTGTCTCTTATGTTTGCCATGCCCCAGTCTGTCAGGACTGCCTTCTTAGAAGGGTGGTGAACCTATAAGGTTGAGAACTTACCAGGTTGTCTAAAATTTCACAAATGTTATCAAAAATGTCATTCCAAAGACCACAGCTCATAATTGGGGAAAAAAAAAAACCCTCAAAGCTTTTAGCACCCAGATCACCCAATCACTGCAGATTTATTCTGAGATTGTTTATTATACCCAACATTAAAATTAACAGATTGGTTAATGATCCAACCCGGTTTTATAGTCCTGTGCATTTTTTAATCCCCATTCCACTTAAGCAAGTGGTACAGACTAATAAAATAATAGAAACTTTCAGTTTGTAAAGCCTAAACTTACAACATGTTTGGGAATTTTGTAGGTGTGCAAGAACCAACATATTAAAGAAAAATTGGACTATTAAAGAAACAATGTAAGGCTTCTTACTTTAAAAAAAAATCCTTTATATGAATATGCCAGGAAAGTTTCTCATTTTTCAAATGTAGTGTTTAATAGACTGAAGAGAATAAAGTTAAATAAATAATATACTATTTTTATTTTGATCTTCAAAAACAAAGTGGAGAAAAAGAAAAATACAATATGGCTTACCATGACATTTGCTGGCTTTATATCCTGGTGAATGATTCTCTGTGCATGGATGTACTCTACTGCCATGGATAAGTCCAGTGATATGAAACCGGCATCATCCCCTTCAAGCTATCAAGACAATATATAATATTAATAAAACAATGCATAGCCAGGTGTGACAATCTAACATGTCTACCACTGGAAATGTATTACTTCAAATAGGATTAGTATTCAAATGCAACTGCTCGTAAGCTTTCAGCTTGTCCATTTGCTGAAATGTATACAAAACAATTACTGAACAGTTTAAATTTGAATCACGTTTCACCACTGTCGCTAGCTAGAATGAATTAGCCAGACAAAAATAGTACTGATTTGGTTTCGTACAAAACTGGCTTTCCGTCTCTGATATGTAACTTTCACAACATAACTGCAACTTAATATAACACAACTGTGGCAAAAATATGAACAAAAGGGAGAAAAAGTTAAACTTACCTTGTGTCGTTAGGAGCCTGAACCACGGTAAAACTCCGGTGAGGTCAATGACCTTACGCTCTCCCACGGTAACACGTTGATGACATATTTGGAAATCAATTCGGGTGGGACATGACAACAGCGCCACCTGCAGGAAGATTTTCTCTCTGGTACCTTGTGTTCTGACACCTGACAACTTTTTTTCTGACACCTGACAATTTTTTTCTGACACCTGACAATTTTTTTCTGACACCTGACAATTTTTTTTCTGACACCTGACAATTTTTTTTTGACAACTAACACCTGACAACTTTTTTTCTGACACCTGACAATTTTTTGTCTGATACCTGACTTTTTTTTTTTTGACAACTGACACCTGACAATTTTTTTTCTGATACCTGACAATTTTTTTTTTGACAACTGACACCTGACAATTTTTTTTCTGATACCTGACGATGTCCTAAAATGTACACCGTATTCTGGTCAAATATCGTATCAATTTCAAAATACACTTGTACACATTTAAGGCTATTCATCATCTCTCCCCTCCATATCTCTCCGATCTGGTTGAGATCACCGCCCCATCTCGTTGTCTCAGATCTACTTCTTCCCTTTCACTCTCCGTCCCCTCCCCCGTCTTGCCACCATGGGGAGCAGGGCTTTCAGCTGCTCTGCTCCACGACTCTGGAATTCCCTACCTCCTCTCTCTTTAAGTCCCAACTCAAAACTCACTTGTTCAAAATAGCTTATCCCACATAACCTCTTCATTCTGCTATTTTAAATTTGTTTACGTCTTGTGCTTTTATGATTGTGTAAACTGCTTGCTTTTATGTTGCTTTTTATTCTGTGTACAGTGACCTTGAGTATTTTGAAAGGCGCTTTCAAATAAAATGTATTAATAATTCAACTACAACAGCAAAAAGCAAGACGCAAGTCACCAGAGTTCTTTGTGTTACTCGTGCACCAGGGAGAGAACCGCGACAGTGCCGTTCCTTTGGTTGACCCCAGTTGCTCTTGTCTGCTCCCTCGTAACACTGCTCTTTTATTGAGGTTACATGAATATGCATAAGTTATGTACATAAGTTTTGTAAAATATGACATTTTACATTGGCGTACACGTAAACAAAGGGTACCTTGTCTGTGTGTCGTGTAGGTGTGTGTGTGTGTGTGTGGGGGGGGGGTTAATCCAGCAGTTCATTTAAAAAAAAGGAACTTATACTAAAACAGACATAGATGTGTTTATCCTACCATAAAACAATAAAATAAGGTACGACCTTAGGATCTGTGTGTGCATGCCAGTACACTCTGGAAGGCACACAGAGTCTTTACAGACTGCTAAGGATCAAACCTCTATCATTATGCAATCAAACTCTATGCATATATGGGTAAATATTTCTAAGCATAAATGACAATCCAGCAATATAAACCTGACAGTCATTTGACATGAACTGAAACAGAATAGTTTTAATTATATTTGGTGGTGGTTTAAAAGTCTTCCTTCTTATTCCCGCTCTGCCAACTCTCAGCCTCATTCTGTCTCTGCGCTTCCTCCTAGCCTACAACAGCTAGAGCTTCAAGTCAGGGTCTTCTCTTTCATGTTCCTTGCAACATTCTCCTTTTCTTTACGGGTCTGGCTCTAATACCTATCACTGCCGAGATGGGCCATCGGAGTCTGCCAAATATCTCTATAAAAATTGTGTACATCAACAAATCATGTTCATTCTTTGTAATGATCTCTCTTTATTTAAGTGGCCTCTAGGCCACTTTTGACAAGCTCAAGCTTTTTGGAAGCTTTGTGTGTTTTCCAGACTTACCTCAAACACCCATATTGTATGGAGTTATGGAGATCTCAGTTATTTACTTTATAAATTTCTCATTTTTATGTAGTGTATTACAATTATGGGGTGTTTTTGTTACCATTTTTTTTCTTTTGTTCCTTCTGTTTTGTTTCCTTGATTATAGTCAGAATAATTTTTGTTCACCCAGGGCTTCCATGTCTCCCTAATTGCCTCATGCATGTATTTATGGGCTCAGTCTCCCTTTGGCCTTTGACAGAGCATCTGGTAATACAGGAAACTAAAACAACTTTAATAATAAACATTTACAAAACAAATTTAGAGGATTCATATTTTTCTACTAGTTTTAAAACACATCTTGGAACTTTTCAGGGAAATATAGAAATTAAATTTCTTGATTTCAGACTTTTGATGGAACCATGCTTTTCACTCACACACAATGTAACACATACAATGATTGCGATGGTTTTAACACTTGAACCAAAACCACACTTTCAGTACAGTGGATGTCTAGGTCTGGGGTCTTAACTTTCTGTTGAGGGAGTCATTTCCAATGTCAATGATGTTTCTCATGGCGTTCATTATTATAGCATCAATGTCAGGATTCAGTTCTCTTTCTGAGTGGTAGTTCTTCACTGGAAAAATAAAGTTAATAGGGATGCCCACACGTTTGCTGAACTGCTCAATCTAAATTAAAAAACAAACAAGAAATATAAAAAATATGAGAATTATTTTGACAGTTTAATTATAATGCATTCCTGTATACAGTTCTATTAAAATAATGTACCCTTTGCTGCAGACATTCGCTTCTGTAGACATTTGTCACATCATGTTTTATCTCAGGAAAAGCCTCGTCAATTTTGGTGAAAATTGCCACTTGTGGAATCTCTGACAAAATAAAATACAAATATTGAGTAAATGGATTGTGATGTGAGATAAGTTTTTCCTAACACTTCTAGTTGTACATAAAAGACGGTGGTCCAATTTCTATCTGTAGTGATGTGCGATACCACTGATTTCCTTTCCAATCCGATACCAAGTAACATTCAGGGTGGTATCGACGATACTGATTTGATACCGATACTTTGTACAAAAACTTATTTTATTTATTGTATCTCAAATGATAGCATCATAATGATTACAGGATATCAGATTACTTGTTTTTATCACTTAATAATGCAGAGTTCATCATATAGAAATAAAAAAACATGAAGTTGCTTTGAACACCTTGCCTGCCTACATCACTAAAGGACTCCATGAGAGACGTCTGTCTCGCCCTAGCAGCACCTGTCCCTCTCTTCAGTTCGCCTCAACATAGCTCGTCATATTCTATGATATGATTTACTCTGAGGTGTTTGACAAGGTTAGTGATGTTGCTGCAACCATACATGCCAACCCTCTCGATTTTTCCGACAATCCCGAATTTCAGTGCCCCTCCCAAACATCTCCCGGAGCCACCATTCTCCCAAATTTCATTTCTCCCGATTTTCAACAAAATTGAAAAACCATATCGCAGAATTCAAAGCGCGGCCCGGCCAATTCCAGTTTCCAACAATGACGGCAGCTACTTAGTTTTAATATCACTCTTATTTCTCTTTCTGGGTTGCAATTTTTTTAAACATATTTTCAGGTGAGAATGTAGCTGTGTAAACTTCAAATATCTGAGCCGATCGACACATCGTCTTCAAACCCCGCGGTCTTTCGCTACTCGGGTTAAACATGATATATAAGTCACTTTGATAATTTAAAAATGTTATTGTTTGGCTTTTTCAGTGTTTTATTTGTTCGTGAGTAAATCGGTTTGGCTGATATTAAAGTTAGATTAGATGACATTAAATTTAACTTTATTAATCCTTCGGGTGGGTTCCTCCGGGGTTTTCACACAGCTGAATAAACGTCAAACAGAAACTGATTAAACAGAAGAGTGAGGCGGTCGAGAATTTACGTCAGCGCCCGGTTATATTTTAGATAGCAAGGAGCAGACGGCAGAGTTTCACTCCACCGAGGGAGCTCGTGACGTACTACCCGGCAGGGCCGTGCAGAGAGGTTTAAAGGGGTGGGTGCTCAAAGTTAAAAAGGGGCACATTGAACCAGGCTGAATAACAACAACACACATTCATCAAGAATCTAATACGGGAAGGGCAGGGCTGTGTTGATCTGAGACTGTAGACATTAAAACGTCCATAAGAGAGATGGTAGCTGATTAAACAAGTGTCATGAGATAATAACTAAATGCAAAGATTGGTGACAGCGCTTGGAACCATAAGGCAACAAAAAACTGTGAGAAATAAACTCGGCTCTGCCTGTGAATCACTCTTTGCTTCTCTTCTTCCTTCCATCCCATCTTTTCATATATCACTCTCCACTTGCTGTCTATCTGAGAACAAGGCACAACTTGCTATTGCAATAAACTATAATTTAATTATCCACACCTAACAACTCTTGCACTTAATCTATAATAAAATGATGACAGAAAATGTTATAGCCCTGCCTTTAGTAGCCTCAAACAGCTCCTACTGTTTCCTCCTCATGTCCTTACCAGGCATGTCTGGACAATGTTATATCATGAGTAATATTTTTTTTTAATCCATCTAAATAAAACACACACATGCACGCACAGTGACATTTTAGACCTTCTTCAGAATACTGTATATACTATGGGCATCACGGTGCTGATCCAGAATCCTTACATTATTATTTATTACTAGAGCTACAATAATAAAGCAATGAGGAGGGGGAAGTAATAAATATGAAATAATGTATTTATGATGATTCCATTTGTTTCACTATCCACTCTGTGCAGGGCAAAGCTTATTACATTTTTAAACTGTAGAGATACAATAATTTTACTGCTGTAAAATCCAAATTTTGTCTTATTTAAAATATAAATCTAATATAATCTGCGTCTTAATGTATGTTCTTTAAAATACAGTGTGTGTTTTTTAATATATTATAATTATAATAATGCATAATTATGTGGACATGCATATTAGATCGTTTTTTAGTGAAATATAATCCCTCCAGAAAGGCAGGAAAAGCCCTGTAACTTACTTTAAAACTAAATATGTTTCTTAATACCTTAAAACTAAATATTTTCCCTAAAACGGTGACAGAGCTACAGACCCATGACAGCCTTACACAGGTAGCCAGCAGCTATGACCAGCACTACTTGTGCAGTTAATAAAAGGACAGGTAATGTTTGTCGCGCTGTTGCACACACAGCACGCTCGTTTGTTTCAGTTCGTCAGTTGCCACAAGACAGCTTACCAACGTGTACGTAATAAGCTAATAATAATAATAATAATAATAATAATAATAATAAATTTTATTTATGAGCGCCTTTCAAGTCACCCAAGGACACTTTACAATAGAATAAAACACTTAGTAAAACAATGGGAGAATAAGAACAATAAAATACAAGCACAAGATAAAATGAACAAACAGTGGATTCACAGTGAATATGCAGATTTGAACAGATGATTTTGAGTTGGGATTTAAACTGGGGGAGAGAACCAATATTTCTTATTTCAGGGGGCAGAGAGTTCCACAGCCTGGGAGCAGAGCCGCTGAAAGCTCTGCTTCCCATGGTGGTGAGGCGGAAGGAAGGTACAGTAAGCTGGATAGAAGAAGAAGAACGAAGTGAACGGACAGAACAAGTGGTGGTTAACAGGTCAGAAAGGTAAGGAGGAGCGAGGTTATGAAGGGCCTTGAAGGTGAGTAGAAGAAGTTTGAAAATTATCCGGAATTTCACAGGGAGCCAGTGAAGTTCCTGAAGAACAGGTGATGTGCTGGTAGGAGGGGGTTCTGGTGATAATGCGAGCAGCAGAGTTCTGAACCAGTTGAAGCTTATGGAGGGATTTTTGGGGGAGACCATGCAGAAGAGAATTGCAGTAGTCAATACGGGAGGTAACAAGACTATGTACAAGAATGGACGTAGACTGGGTGGAAAGAGAAGGAAGCAATCTGTTAATGTTACGTAGATGGAAGTAGGCAGAACGGGTGAGATTATTGATGTGAGATTTATAAGAAAGTGTACTGTCTAGGATGACACCAAGGCTCTTAACCTGAGGAGAAGGGAGAACTGTGGAGTTATCGATGGTGAGTGAGAAATGGTTTGCCTTCAAAAGGTTTGGATTTGGTGCCAATAAGGAGGATCTAATACTCCTGTTTGCCACACACTACAGTGTACGCTGTACACCTACTTACTGGTTTTGTCGTCTGTGTCTCTGAGTTAACTTGTGTTTCTCCTACAGCTCCGGACCGCTAAAAATGCGCGTGCTCTTTGTGAGCTCGTTCCTGGCTCGTAACCAGCGCGTTCTGCCGTCAAGGGCGATCGTTGGTTAAATGTGATCATGTGACTGATGCAAGCCAGATCCTTTTATTTAGCAAAACTGTGATTAATAGTATATATTATTCACAATGTGAATAAGTGTTATTCTTTATTGATGGGTGTTTACACTGAAATGGCAACAAACAATAACAACTGATGGCTTACATTAGATTTTTTAAGGCAATTGGTCCCATTGTAAAAAGAAGGAGTGATTTTTGCTCACCCAGCTCAGTGGCTTCATCTCTGACGTCCTGTATTGCTTCCACAGTGGCATCATTCATCAGAGATGCAGTGTTGGCATCAACAACACAAACCAAAACGTGCACTTTGTCGTTCTCAGTTGGAGTTCTGTTGTAGTATCTATCGCCTTTTGACAGTTTATTTTCAGGGTTGAACTAAAAGATAAAGCGTAAACATAAAACAAATAATGTAAAATGATGAATTACCTAAAAATTACCAAAAATAATATGAAAATCTTTTCTTTTAACTGAACATCAGAATTTTAAAAATGCAGTAACTCTACCACGTAACCATCCTTTATGTGGCCCTTCAGCGCCTGTTTGACATGTTTCACATGAATCCTTCTGTTTCTTCTGCTGGTTGTGAATTTCAACCCTACCATGTCATTTAGGAAAAAAGGGTAAAAGGCATTTCCCTTTTTGATCTTGTAGGTTGTATACTGTGGATCACATATGGAGAATACATTTATTTATTTTAACATTCAAACACTCTCAGAAACAGGTCCCATAATGATTATAAATTCAGAAGCAATTTACAGTCTATTGAGCTCTTGTTATTTTTATAACTTGTTGCCACCACAGCATCACCACTGGGTTAGTGGAATTTCATACCAAAACTTCAATGTGAAGACTTAAGTTATTATTTTGGCCTTTTGAAACCAGAAGTGGTGAGCAAGGGGCGAATCAGATAGAGAAACTAAAGTGCCACTACTACTAGAAAGCGGCATTGGTACCATGAGCTGGTGAGGCAGGAGGGGCTAACAAAATTAGACAACAATAGCTATTGTATATAGTAATAGCTAGCTAATTAGCACTAACTATTTCCAGGTTAGCTCATTGACGCTACTGATAGGATAGGAACAGGGTGCATTCATTTATCCAATTCTAGTTCTCCACCACAAGTTAACTTCACATACATGACAGTAAAAGATAGATAATAGCCTTCACCAACTTGCACATTCATGGATAAAGCCAGATCACTGATCTGCCTACAAGTTATTTAGTGAGTCACATATTAACTGTTACTGGCATAGTTGTACTCTGTCCATACCTTTTTGGTGAAACAGTCACAAGAGTTAGCCACCAAAGCCTCGCAACATACTCTCTTTTGTAAGACGCTGTTTACAGAATTGATGAAACTAGATTTTCCAGCTCCAACTGGACCATGAAGAAGGATCCTAAGATTTTGTTCTTCAACCTCAGGTTTGTAGTTCTCCACAACATGCTGATCAGTTGGGTTCTCTCTGCTCAGGAAAGGAAATATTACATTATCTCACACCTTACATGGAAAAAATGAATAGACATGGAAAATCTGGGTAGTTTACTGACTAAACAGAGGAAATAATTCAAATGTATTTTTTTTCTGTGAGCTTCACTCACCCATTGTTAATTTTCCTCCATGGTTTTTCAAGAACTGACAAGAAACAATTTAATGAGAAAATAACATCAATGTATAGTGCATTTTTTTATTGGATGACAACTCGTATAGCTTTTGAATAAACTTACGTAGAGATGGAGCAGCTGTTGTTGAAGACGAAGAACCCATAACTGAAACATGAAGTATTTATTCTATTTAATTCAAAGTTTACAGAAACAATTTCATTTTTGCTTTGGATTAAAATGAACCTACCTTTGCTGGAGAAAGCCTGCCACCCAATGCCAGAATGTGAACCTATCTACAGTTTTAAAGTCTTCCAAATCCGTTTTTACTTTCAATTTGACTTCTGGGAATTCCCCTTGATCACAGTTTACTTTAATTTTCATCCTGTTTATAGATAACATCAAAACAGCAACATGTTGATGTTTCCACTCTCACGTTCACTGAGAATATTTAATCTCACATTTCATTTGGTTGAGTTTGATATACTTCCATTATATAAAGTCATGTATACCCACAAGGGGTTCTGCAAATTGTTAGTTTTTTTATCTTATAAGTAACATTTTTTATACAGTACTTTCTAAATAAAAGATCACAAAATGCTTCTCACAAGGATAACAAATCATAATTACTTTGCTAATAGTTGAGCTTGTCATGGGCGACTAGGCTTATTCAGGGTTAGGATTTAAATGCAGACATAAACAGAACAACCATTCAAACTTTTAAATGTTCTTAAAGTATTGGGTTATTCATGTACAATTCAGATTTTTCATATCTGTTACCATTTTCATCCTATCCCTCTTTAAGTTTTCAGTTTCATCTTTGTGATTTTTTAGATACAAATACATGCATTGTTATGGTTGCTATGCACTTGGCTTTGAGTGGGCCTTTCGCAATATTCTCTTCATGTCCAAACAACTTCTTGTTCAGCTGACACTTGCGAGACTTTATCAAAGGTGTAAGAATCACAGCAGATGCCTTTGTGTCAAAGTAACTAAGAATAGAACACAGGAAAAACATAAATTTTTAGATGGGAAACTGTTCTTGAAGTATACTGTGTGTGTGTGTGTGTGTGTGTGTGTGTGTGTGTGTGTGTGTGTGTGTGTGTGTGTGTGAGACACCAACTCTCTGCCATCTATAATCCAGTTTTGAGATCCCTTCCCAGACGCCTTAATGCCCACTCACATCCTGGGCCATCTGATCTCAGGAATTCGCATGATAAGATGGGGCCAGGTTTCACAATGAACTCACCCGAAACTGTTCTTGAAGTATACTGTGTGTGTGTGTGTGTGTGTGTGTGTGTGTGTGTGTGTGTGTGTGTGTGTGTGTGTGTGTGAGAGGGAGAGAGAGAGAGAGAGAAAGAGAGAGAGAGAGAGAATGAGAAGTGTGCATGAAGTGTGATTTTATCGTGGTAAGTACTGCTAAGTACAAGTCTGCCACTGTTTTCTTCCTTTTAGTTACTTCCGAAAAGAAAACCTAATTTCTGCCGTTAAATAGGCTTCTGAACAAATTTAAACTTTTTAAAATCATGCAAAATGCAAAATGCAAAATACATGCCCCAAAATGTATTCTGTAACGTATTCCGTTACGTTACTCAATGACAGTAACGTATTCTGAATACTTTGGATTACTTAATATATTATCATGCTTTTTACAACAACGTGAATGTACTATTGCTGTGTGATTTATTGCCATTACTGAAGGTACGCGACTCCGAACTGTAGTAAAGGGACCTCTGACTAATACGGCGGGGTCCCTGTCGGCTCGTAGCCGAAAACTAGCTTTACTTTGTTGTGTGGGTCAACTTTTCTTGCGAGAGCCAGAGAGAGGCGTTGAAAGGCTGCTCTGAAGCAGAAACCCGCATTGCAAAGCTGGAAGACCGGGTCCAAAACGCGGAACAGGTGATGCTAAAGATGTTAAAAATTATCAACGAGCAAGAAAACAAAATTGTGGATCAGGAAAGCCGGGCCCGGCGAAAGAATCTGAGGCTGTATAATGTCCCTGAAGGAGTGGAGGGGTCTTCGATGACAGTTTTTGTGGAAAAAGTATTGACGGAATGCCTCGACCTCCCCCAGGGCACAGAGCTTGGTATTGAGAGATCACACCGGGCCCCGGGAGCAGTGAGGAACCGAGAGGGAACCCCACGTTCGATATTGATTTGTTTTGCACGTTACAACACCAAGGAAGAAGTTTTGCGTAAAGCGTGGGCCAAGAGGACTGTTCTGTTGAACGGTCAGAAAATATATTTTGATCAGGATTATGCACCAGCTATTCTGCGAAAACGTAAAGGCTACGCTGAAGCTAAAAGAGCTCTGAAACAACAGAACATAAGGTTCCAGACTCCTTATCCTGCTAAATTAAGGGTCTTCTATCAAGAGGGAACCATGCTCTATGCGACGGCGGAGGAAGCAACCGCGGACATGCGGACAAGGGGATTTCAGATTGATAAAGTTGCCCAGAAGCAGACCTTAACGGAACAGCTGTCAAATTTGACGTGGGCGAAGATTGGAAAGTCGCAGCGGTGTGACTCGGAGGGACATAGAGAAAGTCCCAATAGTGAGCAGCTTCAGCTATCTAGAAGGTGCTCTCCCTCTACGACAGGAGACTAATGGAGCATATACTGTGCGGCCGCAATGGGTGAGATAACAAATACTTTTCCCTTATTAGATGATTAAGATTGCAGAGAGACTGTGGAGAAATGCACCTTAAAGGAGCTAGCAGGGGCCCTTGCCCTCCAGTCAGGGGAGGTTTCCCCCTGTCTATGGGATATACGTGCCAGGGTCTGTTAGGACTGACCCCAACCTTGGAATCACATATTATTTTTGTTTTTTTGTCTTGTTTTGTTTTTTCTTTGTCCGATTCTGGACGATTGTGGTTGTTTATTATTTGGGTTGTTAAAGGGAGTTTACCAGTTGATAAATTAATTAAGTCTGGATATTTTATTTCGGATAAATGACTACTAGAGGAATTAAGGTTATATCTTTTAATGTGAATGGGCTCACGAATCCCATTAAACGAAGTCGAATCTTGAATAAAATGAAGAAAGATCGAGCGCAGATAGTATATTTACAAGAGACACACTTGAATAATAATGAACATGAAAAACTCAGGAGGATGGGTTTTACAAATATGTTCTCCTCAGCGTATGAATCAGGCCGCAGACGGGGCGTGGTAATCTTGATTTCCAGGGCACTGAACTTTGAAAAGTCATTTGAACTTAAAGATAAGGATGGGAGATTTATACTGGTACGGGGAACAGTTGATGGTAATCAGGTTACTCTAATGAATGTGTACGCCCCACCAGGAAGTGACCTAAGTTTTTTTAAGTACATTGTTAACATAATGGTGACAGAAACTCAAGGCCCTTTAATTTGCGGCGGTGATCTGAATATACGCCTACAACCGGACCTAGATAGCTCTAAAAGAAAGAAGCCGGGATCGAGTACATTATATAAAAGAATCTCAGCACTGTTCGATGAGGTGGGTTTAATTGATGTATGGAGAAATCGCTTTCCTACAAGGAGGGATTACTCTCATTTTTCAGCCCCACACTCACTTTACACGAGGATAAATTATTTTTTAATGTTTGGAAGAGATAGGGATAAAATCTTAACATGCGAGATGGGCTTGATAGATATAAGTGATCACGCACCGCTGTACCTAACGATTGATATGAATGTACACCCAAAAGTTTCAATTTGGAGATTGAATTCATCCCTGCTTAAAGATGTAGAATTTAGGAAAGTAATAAAGGCAGAGCTCAAAGATTACCTTGAAATTAATGATAATGGGGAGGTTTTACCCCCGATACTATGGGACGCATTAAAAGCTGTTATGAGGGGGAAGATTATAGCATTTGCCTCCTTCCAAAAAAAAGCAAGAGAGAAAAAAATGGAAGATTTACAAGCGATTCAAAAACAATTAGAAAGTGAGCACAAACATAAGCCTTTAGCGGGCACCTTGCAGAAACTAACAATGATTAGAAATGAAATAAATACGCAGAGTATACAGACGATAAAGAGAAAATTGTTATATTTGAAACAGAAACATTATGATGGAGGATCGCAATCAATGAAAATTTTAGCATGGAAACTTAAGAAGAAGATAGCGGAGAATACTGTAACTAAAATCAAACACCCAGAGACGGGGAATATAATGACTCATCCTTGCAAGATACAAACGCCTTTGAGTCATTTTATAAAACATTATATGCGGGAGTCCCAGGGGGGCTGAACAGGAAATGGACAACTTCCTGAACTCTTTATGCCTACCAAGCTTTAACGAGGAACAAAATAAAACGATGATAGCGGAGGTGACGGAAGCTGAACTTATGAATGCTATCAATAGGCTGAAATCAAATAAGTCACCAGGCTCCGATGGTTACACCGCGGAGTGGTATCGGGAATTCAAACAGGACTTGATCCCTACACTACTTACTACTTTTAACTGTGTGTTAAAAACAGCGCAAATTCCACCGAGTTGGAAGGAGGCAATTATTTCGGCTATTCCGAAAGAAGGGAAAGACAAAATGGAGTGTGGCTCATATAGACCTATTTCTGTCCTTAACATAGATTATAGATTGTTTACTTCGATAATGGCCAGGAGAATGGAAGAATTTTTACCTGACTTAATTAGCAATGATCAAACGGGGTTTATAAGACGACGACAGACCCAGGATAATATACGTAGAACTCTTCATGTAATACATCAGATACAGACATCTAAGAGTACAGCCATGCTTATGAGTATTGATGCAGAAAAAGCCTTTGATTCTGTAAATTGGGACTTTCTATATAAAGTCCTGGATAAATTCGGCTTACATAAGGGAATTGTTGATACGGTGAGGGCACTATACACTAACCCCACCGCAAGAATTAAAGTTAATGGTTCTCTCTCAAATAGCTTCGTTCTGCAGAGAGGAAATAAACAAGGCTGTGCTTGGTCCCCGCTCCTGTTTGCATTGTACTTAGAACCCTTGGCACAATCAATTAGACAAAATAAAGACATTAAGGGGATCACTATTGCAGGACAGGAACACAAGCTCGCTTGTTATGCGGATGACATATTGATCTATTTAGATCAGCCCACTAACTCCTTGCCTTCGCTGATGAATCTGTGTCAAAAATTTGGGAAACTCTCTGGATATAAAATTAATATGTCTAAAACTCAAATTCTCAGCTATAACTACAACCCCCCAGCTCACATGGTTGTTCAATATCCAATGAATTGGCAAGCACAATCATTGAAATATCTAGGA